ATTGAGCTTTTTGGCCATCAAGGAAAATGCTATGTCTGGCACAAACCCAACACCTCTCATCACCCAGAGAACACCATCCCCACAGTGAAGCATGGTGGTGGCAGCATGTTTTTCATCGGCAGGGACTGGGAAACTGGTCAGAATTGAAGGAATGATGGATGGCGCTAAATACAGGGAAATTCTTGAGGGAAACCTGTTTCACTCTTCCAGAGATTTGAGACCGGGACGGTGGTTCACTTTCCAGCAGGACAATGATCCTAAGCATACTGCTAAAGCAACACTCGAGTGGTTTAAGGGGAAACATTTAAATGTCTTGGAATGGCCTAGTCAAACCCCAGACCTCAATCCAATTGAGAATCTGTGGTATGACTTAAAGATTGCTGAACACCTGCGGAACCCATCCAACTTGAAGGAGCTGGAGCAGTTTTGCCTTGAAGAATGGGAAAACATCCCAGTGGCTAGATGTGCCAAGCTTATAGAGACATACCCCAAGAGACTTGCAGCTGTAATTGCTGCAAAAGGTGGCTCTACAAAGTATTGACTTTGGGGGGCTGAATAGTTATGCACGCTCAGGTAATTTTTTTTGGTCTTATTTCTTGTTTGTTTCACCCCCAAAAATATTTTGCATCTTCAAAGTGGTAGGCATGTTGTGTAAATCAAATGATACAAACCCCCCAAAAATCTGGTTGTAAGGCAACAAAATAGGAAAAATGTCAAGGGGGGTGAAAACTTTCGCAAGCCACTGTATATATACACACATATACATACAGTTGAAGTCGAAAGTTTACATACACTTAGGTTGGAGTCATTAAAACTCGTTTTTCAACCACTCCACAAATGTCTTGTTAACAAACTATAGTTTTGGCAAGTAGGTTAGGACATCTACTTTGTGCATGACACAAGTAATTTTTCCAACAATTGTTTACAGACAGATTATTTCACTTATAATTCACTGTATCACAATTCCAGTGGGTCAGAAGTTTACATACACTAAGTTGACTGTGCCTTTATACAGCTTGGAAAATTCCAGAAAATTATGTCATGGCTTTAGAAGCTTCTGACAGGCTAATTGACATCATTTGAGTCAATTGGAGGTGTATCTGTGGATGTATTTCAAGGCCTACCTTCAAACTCAGTGCCTCTTTGCTTGACATCATGGGAAAATCAAAAGAAATCAGCCAAAATTGTAGACCTCCACAAGTCTGGTTCATCTTTGGGAGCAATTTCCAAATACCTGAAGGTACCACGTTCATCTGTACAAACAATAGTACACAAGTATAAAATGGACAGTGCCAAAACAAATGATCTAATAAGTCTCTTCGCAGCTAAATCTGCAGAGCTGGGAAGATTGTATCCCCCATATAAATAACATTCTATTGGTAGCAAGAATTTTATATAATAATTTAAATTGAAAAATTCAAAGTTTTGAATCAGTCGTCGTTTTTGCGCATCAGTTCATAAACACTATGCCATGGAATCGGTACGTCAAAAATCTCTTCCCAACTATTTTGCAATCTATATGGGATGGCTGTCAATCCTTTGGTCCTTAAATGAAACTGGTATACTTTTTTATTTATCACAATTTTCTTTAACCAATTATGTTCTTTAATGCAGGGCCGACAGACAAGTTCCTTACTTTTTCCGATCTTGTCTCATCGCTGCAACTCCCCTACGGACTTGGCGAAGGTTGAGAGTCAAGCCGCACTGCTTCTTGACACACTGCTCGCTTAACCCGGAAGCCAGCCGTACCAATGTGTCGAAGGAAACACTGTCGAACTGACGACCGTAGTCAGCTTGCAGGCACCCGGCCCGCCACAAGGAGTCGCTAGAGCACGATGAGACAAGGACATCCCGGTCGGCCAAACCCTCCCCTAGCACGGATGACGCTGGACCAATTGTGCGCCGCCTCATGGGTCTCCCGGTCACAGCTGGCTGTGACACAGCCTGGGATCGAACCCGGGGCTGCAGTGGTGCCTTAGCACTCATTGCTGAATTTGCGATTTCCAACTTGTTGTGTAATGTTTATGTCCAATGGCCGATGAGCACCGATACGTATTATCTACAATTTATCTTCATATGACAAGGATTGAAAAGGATTTGCCAGTAGATTGCCGACTTGATGCATGATGATGACTGCTTGTCCAACTTGCTAGCTAAGATTTTGAAAGTATGATTGTTGACATGATCAGTCCTATCAAAACTACGGTAGATATAACGTGATTTGACGTCATTTTATCTGTGGCCAATGGCCTTGAGCCTTCTTGGATGGGCACTTCTAATGTAAGTCTACGGCAGCACCCAACGGGCTTTAATTAATCTACGGTGACGTAGTGTCCCCATGAGTGACAGAACACTGAGCCAATCACGGCGCAACTAGAGAACATTACCAACCCCTACACTCCGTATTTTCCGCTGGCTGCTTCGCCACCACAGAAAGCACTGAGCTAGGCTGAAACGCCTGCATTTTGGAGCTGCCTTACTCAAGAAACCAAAAAAGAGACCATGATTGTATGCGGCTTTATTAACTTTTTTTTTGGGGGGGGCATTGATATGTGACACGTATTAATGCCGAAATAACATGCAAAACAAAATAAAAATATGAATATATTTATATATATACAGTGGGGAGAACAAGTATTTGATACATTGCCGATTTTGCAGGTTTTCCTACTTACAAAGCATGTAGAGGTCTGTAATTTTTATCATAGGTACACTTCAACTGTGAGAGACTGAATCTAAAACAAAAATCCAGAAAATCACATTGTATGATTTTTAAGTAATTCATTTGCATTTTATTGCATGACATAAGTATTTGATACATCAGAAAAGCAGAACTTAATATTTGGTACAGAAACCTTTGTTTGCAATTACAGAGATAATATGTTTCCTGTAGGTCTTGACCAGGTTTGCACACACTGCAGCAGGGATTTTGGCCCACTCCTCCATACAGACCTTCTCCAGATCCTTCAGGTTTCGGGGCTGTCGCTGGGCAATACGGACTTTCAGCTCCCTCCAAAGATTTTCTATTGGGTTCAGGTCTGGAGACTGGCTAGGCCACTCCAGGACCTTGAGATGCTTCTTACGGAGCCACTCCTTAGTTGCCCTGGCTGTGTGTTTCGGGTCGTTGTCATGCTGGAAGACCGAGGCACGACCCATCTTCAATGCTCTTACTGAGGGAAGGAGGTTGTTGGCCAAGATCTCGAGATACATGGCCCCATCCATCCTCCCCTCAATACGGTGCAGTCGTCCTGTCCCCTTTGCAGAAAAGCATTCCCAAAGAATGATGTTTCCACCTCCATGCTTCACGGTTGGGATGGTGTTCTTGGGGTTGTACTCATCCTTCTTCTTCCTCCAAACACGGCGAGTGGAGTTTTGACCAAAAATCTCTATTTTTGTCTCATCAGACCACATGACCTTCTCCCATTCCTCCTCTGGATCATCCAGATGGTCATTGGCAAACTTTAGACGGGCCTGGACATGCGCTGGCTTGAGCAGGGGGACCTTGCATGCGCTGCAGGATTTTAATCCATGACGGCGTAGTGTGTTACTAATGGTTTTCTTTGAGACTGTGGTCCCAGCTCTCTTCAGGTCATTGACCAGGTCCTGCCGTGTAGTTCTGGGCTGATCCCTCACCTTCCTCATGATCATTGATGCCCCACGAGGTGAGATCTTGCATGGAGCCCCAGACCGAGGGTGATTGACCGTCATCTTGAACTTCTTCCATTTTCTAATAATTGCGCCAACAGTTGTTGCCTTCTCACCAAGCTGCTTGCCTATTGTCCTGTAGCCCATCCCAGCCTTGTGCAGGTCTACAATTTTATCCCTGATATCCTTACACAGCTCTCTGGTCTTGGCCATTGTGGAGAGGTTGGAGTCTGTTTGATTGAGTGTGTGGACAGGTGTCTTTTATACAGGTAACGAGTTCAAACAGGTGCAGTTAATACAGGTAATGAGTGGAGAACAGGAGGGCTTCTTAAAGAAAAACTAACAGGTCTGTGAGAGCCGGAATTCTTAATGGTTGGTAGGTGATCAAATACTTATGTCATGCAATAAAATGCAAATTAATTACTTTAAAAATCATACAATGTGATTTTCTGGATTTTTGTTTTAGATTCCGTCTCTCACAGTTGAAGTGTACCTATGATAAAAAATTACAGACCTCTACATGCTTTGTAAGTAGGAAAACCTGCAAAATCGGCAGTGTATCAAATACTTGTTCTCCCCACTGTATTTTTATAGCTAAACAGGTGGGGCTCAAAACAGATGGGGCTCTGCCCTGAATGATGCGTCGCCACTGGGCCTACTGCTGCATTGGCCCATAGGCCATCTCTGAGTTCTATGCTCTCATTTCTTTAGTCGCCAATGGTTCACAGTGTATCAATGTGTCTATGGCAGAGGCTAGTGCTCTCGACATAGTTGGATTTTAACTTTGAGATTTTTATCATTTTAGGCCTACTTCAGATTTTTATGATTAATCGTGTGACAATGATTTTGAGAAACAAAAACGTTATTATTGAAATGAAACTGTTCCACGAAAATGTGCATATACAAATATAATATAATATATAATAATATGCCATTTAGCAGACGCTTTTATCCAAAGCGACTTACAGTCATGTGTGCATACATTTTTACGTATGGGTGGTCCCGGGGATAGAACCCACTACCCTGGCGTTACAAGCGCCATGCTCTACCAATTGAGCTACAGAGGACCACCCAATAATCATAACTGGCACGCAGATCGGTAGAAATGGTAGGATAAATTGTAAGCTTCCCCAACCTTGAAACTCATGAGCTGCCTATGGTCTTTACTATTACACCCATTTAAAAAATGCACGCAAGTGCTTGCACACATAGGAGGTCCTGTGAAAAAATGGGCCCGCCTATGGAAATCAAAGGCCCCTCCAACTGATTCGTTCAGGCGGCGGGTCTGGCAACATAACACATTTCAAACTTCATACCACTCCCAGTATGGTATCAGTTAGTCAGTTAACCATCTCATGTTGTGTATCTGCACCCTGTCCTCTTGCCCATTTAGATGGATGAACCGGCTGGGGCTGGCGGCGATTGGCTACACACCTGACGATAAGGTTTCACGCCCTGATGAAGGTACGACAATCTGACTAGATGTTTAGTGACATCAGACAACATCCTGTTGTGATGTGTAAATCTAATGATTTTAGGACACTGACGTAAAATGTTACATAAGTGTATTAGATCAATACCTATTGTACTGTAGCGCAACACAGACCGTATTGGCATAGATGAGGTCACCCAAGCTGTTTATCTTATTGATGTTCAACTTTGATATGTTTCAGATTACTGGAGTGAGAGTGACCAGGATGAGATCGATGGTTCTATGACCCTGAAACAAGAGGGCATGTCATCACGCTGTGATACCTACCACCGCACCCCGTCTGTGAGTGCAGGCTTCTGGTCCACATTCTGGAACACACACACACACACCAGTGGCGGTCGGTGCTATTTAAGATGAGGGAGGGCAACAACAAAAAAATTAGGAGCATGGCCTTATTTCTATTATAGCATATTGGATGGCTGTCATTCATATTCCATTCATCCAGTTCAATGTAACATCGATAGGCTTAGGCTACTACATGATACTCTAATTTTCCCTATACCCATCATAAGGTTGCTACAACCTAGCCTATGAAGGAAAGTTTACAATGTAGGTGCACACAGGTAGAGAGAAACATTTGAGGTGACAGACACTGACACATAGACAGACACATTCAGTACATCCTTGCACACTCTTGCCTGCATCTAGCTGATCTAGGGTGTAATCATTAGTCCAACAGTTGCAAACGAGAGTTTCTATTGGTCAAATTCAGGTATATTTATCCCCGTTTCGTTCCATTTGCTTCTGTTTAAGAAATGTTTTTCAACAGAATCGACAGAATGAATACACCCCTGATCACACGTAAACACAGTTCACTTTCATTACAGCCACATTGTATTCCTTCTCGTATCTATGCGCTCTCCCCCTCTCACCTTTTCCCTTCGTATGTGGACTTCAATGCACAACACATCAGCTGTATGTGACCAGGTGAAAAAACCTTTCCAAGCCAAACCATATCATAACCGCTACACACAGCCTACATGGTTGTCACCATATTAGCTAAAGTAACGTCATAATCAACATAGCTTATAGAACTAACGCGTTAGTATACCAGCTACAATCATGCAGTAACGTTACAGTGTATAGTCAGTAAGCAGTTACACCGGCGGGCCCCGGTGGCAATAAATTAGTAAAACCAAAAGCTTGCTTTGACTTGGAAGAGTTCCAGTGTTGTGTTGGATAGTAATAGCCAGCTAGCTAACATAGAATCCCTCTGTTTGAGCAGGGTATTTGAGTAGGCTAAACTAGCTAGCTGCATTTGCTAGTTAAGTAAGTGAAACTGAAAGTAAAAAAAAAAATGAAATCTCTCTTTCTCTTGCTTCTCTTTCATTTTTGAAGATTAATTTGTTAAAAACGGTTCAACTATTGTCTTTCTCTCTCCTTGATTAAACTACTCACCACATGTTATGCACTGCAGTGCTAGCTAGCTGTAGCTTATGCTTTCAGTACTAGATTCATTGTCTGATCCTTTGATTGGGTGGACACCATGTCAGTTCATGCTGCATGAGCTCTGATAGGTTGGAGGACGTCCTCTGGAAATTACTGGAAGGGGGTGAGAACCATGAGCCTCCTAGGTTTTGTATTGAGGTCAATATACCCAGAGGAGGACGGAAGCTAGCTGTCCTCCGGCTACACCATGGTACTACCTACAGGGTGCTGTTGAGGCTACTGCAGACCTTCATTGCAAAACAGTGTGTTTTAATCAATTTTTTGATGACGTGAATATATTTATTATAGTTTTATCTAAAAATGATAACTTTTTAAATGTTTAAAAACATTTTTTTTTATTAAATTCACTGAGGAGGATGTTCCCCCCCTTCCTCCTCAGATGAGCCTCCACTGACACACACACTTATGCTTACACTCATACAATACATAATGACCCTATCATTAAATACCTCTGTCTACTGGTGCCCTTCCAGGTGAACTCCTCCAGTCCGTTCCCTGAGCGCCACTTCTCCAGTGAGTCCACGTACTCCCACTCCTCCGCTGAGGATTCCCGTCCAGACGTCCCCGGGAGCACCCACTCCTCCGGCTGCCGCCCCACCCTCCGTGACACCCAACGCCGCTCCTGGCAGGACCTGATCGAGACGCCCCTCACCAGCTCAGGCCTCCACTTCCTGCAGACGGTGCCGGGGGAGGGCGACAGGGGCGATGGGGGATACGGCAGCGGCCATATGGGAATGGGTCAGCTGCTCATGTCCCCTGAGCGCCGACGTCAGGCCACGCTGCCCGCCCAGAGGCGCCGGCAACCTGACAGAGATGGGCCCTTCCCATTGGTGGACATAGAGGAGCGCGAGCAGCGCCTCCACCACTGTACCCACAAGCAGCGCAGCCAGAGCCTGCCCCGGAACAGGGACGTGCAGGGCACCAAGGGCAGCCTGCGCCCAGCAGGACCCTCAGAGGAGAGGAGTGAGGACGACGAGGTGCCATTCAGAAAGCACAACTCCAAAAAAAAACAAGGTACTTCCTGCTCTCGCCAGGCTTCTCTTTAGGACTCCTCAGACTTCAAGTTACTGTTTAAAAAATACACATCTACCTTGTTATGCATTGATTATATATTTAATTGATGGATGGTTAGGGTTGCAAAATTCTGTGAACTTTCAATAAAAATGTTTTTCCCGAAGTCCCGGTTGGAAGATTCCTGGAATTAGGAGTAAGCAGGAAACCCGGATCCTCCAACCACTATTTGGGGAAAACCAGGGAATTTATTGAAAGTTCCCAGAATTTTGCAACCCTAGACAAGGTACTTTGTAAAGCTTTTATCCAAGTTAAAATGGTTGAATAAGGTTTAGCACAGAGTTTTGAAATCCTGTCCTAATTTCCCCCTCAGATTCTCGGTCTAAAGAGCGAGGCCATGATCATGAGGGGGTGGATGGCTTTCAGGAGCTGTACCGCTCTATAGAGCAGGCCAGCCTGTCTGCCCTGGGGGAGCAGAGGCCCTCCACCAAACAGGAGTTCAGACGCTCCTTCGTCAAGCGCTGCAACGACCCTGTCATCAACGACAAGCTGCACCGCATTCGTGCCCTGCGCAGCACACTCAAGGTACGGAGAGGGAGGGACACAGCCACAGGGCAGGCTGTGGGGCAGTCATAGGCAGTGTTTTCCCTAAGTATATGGAGCAGCCAGCCAAATAGAAAAAGTAGCCAGCCAGGGAGTTCCGGACTTTGGGGTTCCGGGGGTGCTTTCCCTACTGGGGATTTTTTTTGCAGAACGAGCTCTAATTTGGTAGCCATTCTAATGCTTCGATTCCATCCGAAATACACAGCTAAAATAATGAATACTTTAAATCAAATCAAAATCAAATTGTATTTAGTTTATTGTGGCAAGTTTCTATATGGGCTTCCAATCCTAGGAAAATACAAACAAGATCTTTGGTTTACTTGTTCCGATGCGATACCATGGACCTATAACTACGTTGTATGATTTATGAATAGCAAAGGTATATAGGAGATTGACTTTATTCAGTCAGTTCAACACCTTTTATAAACTAGTCAACACTTGCTGTTCGATCGTCAATCAAAGCACAGTAAATAGCCTATGTGCCCCGACTCCGTGGCTGGCTATATGAAACACGCGAAATAAAATAGTTGAATGTGCCACAAAACAATAATTAAGTGGATTTCAACTCATCGTTACCACTTACATTACATGGGACGTGTACATTCACTCACAGGAGATGATGAAGAAGCATGCTCTCCCTCCTCCGTGAAAATAAATTAAACTGCAGCCAACCACAGCGCACAAAAATAACACAGGTACCGAGAGGCAGGACAGACAGCAGACTGACAAACCAGCAGTGTTTCCCTGTCATCGCTCGCTTTGTGACTGATAGGCGCCTTTCCTACCAATAGGTCCCTAGAAGATGCATATCGTTCATTCTAGGGGGAGAAGGCTATACTGACTTTTCTGACTAGCGAATTTAAACTTTAATATGAAAAGTAGCTGGACGATAATGAGTCTGTTATCGGCTGGTTAGCCAACGGACATCGCTTAGGGAAAACACTGCAAAGGGCAGGTATGAATGGTATAGAAGGTGTTACAGGTCCAGCAGGTGGCTGTCTATAGCAATGAGAGTGAGGCGGCATATGAGTGGGGTCATTTAGGTGGTATGTAAGCCAAACACTAACTGATGTGTTCCCACAGGCCAAAGAGGGTGATCTGGCCATTATCAGCCATGTGCTGGACGACCCCGGTCTAAACTCCCAGAAGTTCAAGGAGTGGAAGCAGCAGCACCATGAGCTGTTTATGGACATCTGTGAGTTCAGCTCCGCCCCGACAGAGCCTCACCCTGAGGGGTCCGACCTCTCACCCCTGTCTCCACCTCTGATGATGCACACCCACTCCTTCATCGAAACTCATGTTTGAGACATGAGCGCTCAGATACAGAGTAACAGGAAGACACTGTGGAATCATGCAATCATCTCTTTCCCCCCCCCCCAATCGACGATGCAGCCACGATCTACCGTCACCATTCACAGCAAACTAACTGACAAACCAATCACTGTAATATGTGTACATACTGCACTGAGGTCAAATAGAAGAGAGTTACGGTCGGTGTATATACTGTATATTGGATAAAATAAGGCTCCCACGGGGTGCCATTCTGCATGCCTGAAGAGAAACTATCATTCTTCATAATTATCTTCAAAACAGAAAATGCAACAGATGATAGATCGAAAGAGAATTTAACAACAAAAAGAAGACGAGAACTGTTTTTGGCTGATACAGTGCATTTTCTTCTTTCTTCGATTGTCATTTTTGTTATTTAATTCCTTGCTTAAGAGGAAGCAAGCTTTGTTTTTATTTCATTTTTTATTTCCCCTTTAATGCTGCTTGAAGAGAGAGCTATGTAGCGACGGGCTATAGGCATCATTCTGATTACTACAATGCACCCCCCTACTGGGCCAACATGTTACTGTGTGACCCTGAGCCCCCAGAAAGAAAGACCCAATCTGTGTAAAAGTGTGTGTTCTGTATGTTTGTATAAGTGTGGAGAGGAGAGGGGTGTGTTAGGAAGAGAGAGTGAGAGAAAGAGATGGAGGTATTTGGGCTTTTAGTGTATGAAGCTCAGTAGGGTTTTATTACACATTTTTGTTGTATGTACGGATGTTGCATGTTTAACATGTATGTATAATTATGTACATTTTGTTTGACATTTAAACAAAGTAGTTTAGCCAAACACAGCTCACCGGAATGACACTTTTTACATTTATTGATATGTCTCTTTGTAGCTATTTTGATTTTGCCAATCATTATAGCATTTGTTGGTGAGATTTATTTTTGAAATCAAACATCTGCATGGTAGTAAACATGTACATGTGGCCATTGGGGTTGAGAAATGTGTTAAAGAAAAATATTATATTGTTTGCATAGCAGCACCCTCTATTTAAAACTGTGAACTATATACTTGTGAATGCAATCTTTAGATTCTGTGACCACAGAATCTTTTTACTTATATTTTTCATAGAAAAAGTATATAAAAGACAAAAAGCATTGCGTCTCCCGAATGACTGTTTTTGCTTCACTCCAGCTGTCACAGAAGTTACCTCCTGATCTTCAGGATTGATTCAGGTCCTGAGTTTTGCTCATGTATTCTGTTCCCTTTCTGTGTCTCTGTTGATTTTCTATGTGAATGTACTGGCTTATTTTCAAAAGGATCCCAGAAATTGTGTTGATTAATTGTATTTGCTTAAGTTGTTTATTTCTACAGGTTAAGATGTAGTACTGTAGTACTTCAATGTGTTTGCATTCTACCTGCGCAAAATACATGATCAACAACTCATAACACATTTTTCATTTTTAAAGTTTGACACACTTGGTTGTTTCTTTTTAGGCCTATTTTCTTGACTTTCTTTCACCTGTGATGGAATATGTAATTTCTATCAAATTTCAATTATAATGTTTTTGTTTGTGCTGCTTAATACATGTTCCCTTATTCCTGGCAGGATATTGACATTGCTTCAATTCACCTGCAGTTATCATCCAGTGTTGTGTCCTGATACTTAAAATGCCTTTAGGTGTCAGTACATTTGTTATACAGTATAATCTACTTCAAATTATACAGTATAATTACACAGGCCCTGCATTGTTTGGCTACTAACATTTATAAAACGTGTCAGCAGTTGTTACTCTCAAGTTGTTGCTTTCAACTTTCAAATTTTATGAATAGCAGTACATGTATTGTAGAATGTATTTCATTTAACCAGAATGTAATTGTTCTCACGATGTTTTAAAACACTGTACATGAAATCTGTCCAATCTGTCCAGGGTTCCACTGTGTTATTTTGGAGGTGTGCACCTCATAGTACAACTGCGCAGGTGTGTAGCTAAGATGTAAGTTGCACTGCGACATTAAAAAAAGGAACATATTGCTCTTTTTTGGAAGTATATTATTATCTGTTTATCTGTACATTAACTGATTTAAACAAGTGTTATCGAGAAAGAGAAATACATTTATTCTTCCTATGAATCAAAAGTAGCCTTTTTGTTTCTCAGAAATATATACAGTACGAGGTTGTAAAACTTAAGTTGTAAAACCAATAAACTGAATTACTGCACAAATAAATGCATTCATGTGTATTTATTTTGATAACAAAAACAGTACTCTGAACTAAAGCAGATCTTCAACTCTGCTCTTAGGGACCCACATAATGTGCAGGCTTTTTCCAGGATAGGATCAGGAATGAAGAACAATATTCTAAATAAAGAAAACTTATTAACATAGCTATGTGTATGTCATTGTTTTATTGGAGGTCATTATTCACTGACCCAGTAAACAGTGCTTAACTTGGGCAGGAGCTCACTGGAGCTGATACCCGCACCTCAAAGTTTTAACTGCTTGAGCTCCTGTTCTTCTTATACAATATTAGCTCAAAAGTATTGTGGAGCTCTTGCACCTAAATGTAAACAGTACCGGCACCCAAAATTCAGTCCAAGCATGGTAACCACAGATAGAAGAACAATAAAACAGATATTTCACCAGATGTATAAATGTGAAACATCTGCTTGGGGTTTCCACTCACTACCAAACATTGTAGTGAGAGAAAGCCCAGTGGCTGGCAGTTGGAGAAGATGGAAGGAGATGGATTTTGGCCGACATTCTGCAAATTTTCTCATCGATGAAACATTTGATCTCAATACAGTTTACTGTTCCCAAGACAAAACTATTTTGTGAACAGCGTGGACTAAGTTTTGTAGACTTTACCTTTTGCCAAAGCTGTAAAAATTCGCGTTGTTTAGAAGGAGTGCAAATGCGAATTGAGTTATTGCACACGCGTACTCCACAGAGTAGGCGTTCACTAACGGAAATATGCAGATGTGGCTAGAACGGGCCAATAGGATCTCGCTAAATCGTGTTTGGCTCTGTCCACCTCCTTGCTTGTTCTGCCTACTATGACTCATTCGTTCCCATTGGAAAAGACGGGCTGTGGTCTATCTTGGTTTAGTTATACAAATATTTGATGTAAGGACAGCACAGTGCCATTGAGGGCAGCGACAGTGGTTACAGATTTACAGGATTGAACGAGTTTTCCTATGATAAAGTTGGTCCCTTGTCGCCACCGGTAGGACACTGAGGGGCGGTACCATCATGACTACGGTAAGTATTTCTCCAATGCAAATCTATCCTTAACCATGTTTTCCTTGAGTTTGAACTGGGACTCTAAGGACGTTGAAAAAGGTCGAATAATGTAGCAGTTTACTGTGTACGTTTATGTGCCTACAAATCGACTAGGATTGCGTGAATACAATATTCAGTTTGCTACATGCACCTTTTGGTCTGACTCTAAGTTCTATCTAGTTAACGTTAGCTACTAATGTGGCTTTTAAAGTAGATATAGAATTGATGTAGCCCAGTGTTTCCCTGTATTTCAGGATTAGATCTTCGCATAACTGAGATTCTCGCAGCAGTATGTAGGAGGGAGAGTCCTAAATGTGAGAAGTGTGCAGGAGGGCATGAGACGAAGGAATGTGTCGTTTCGGTGGAGAAAGTTGTGTGTGTTAATTGTTTGTGGGGGTGCCCATGGAACTGGAGATTGGAGGTGTCCGGTGAGAGAAAGGCAGGTTGAGGTTGCTAGGGTCAGAGTAGCACAGAAAGTGTCGTATGCTGAAGCAGTGAAGAGAGTGGTAGAGGAAGATGGGTACAGGGTGAGGGATCCTGAGCGGATTCCTGTGAGTACATTTACATTTTAGTCATTTAGCAGACGCTCTTATCCAGAGCGACTTACAGGAGCAATTAGGGTTAAGTGCCTTGCTCAAGGGCACATCGACAGATTTTCACCTAGTCGGCTCGGGGATTAGAACCAGCGACCTTTCGGTTACTGGCACAACGCTCTTACCCACTAAGCTACCTGCCGCCCAGTAGGCAAAGACTAATAGAGATTGATGGGAAGAATATGTGCTTCAGTAAGGTAGGTTTCTTGGCATTCATAGCTATGGTTTTCAATTGCACTGCAGAAATTGGAATTGCGAGGTTTGCAGGGGGTGTTGAGTGGTGGTGTTCTGTCCTCCCAGACCTCTGGACTGGAGTAGGATTAGATGTGGTAAATAGTGGAATGGGGTGTTTCTTTGTTTTTAGTTTTATTTTATTTTATAGGGCTAATAGTTGGCAGGTTAATTTGTCCTTTTCCCCAATTGTATTGTACGGTATCAGGGCCCTGTGTAGCTCAGTTGGTAGAGCATGGTGCTTGCAACGCCAGGGTTGTGGGTTCGTTTCCCACAGGGCGCCAGTATGAAAATGTATGCACTCACTAACTGTAAGTCGCTCTGGATAAGAGCGTCTGCTAAATGACTAAAATGTAATGAGTGAGGACAAAACAGAAACCGTGCTGCTCTCCCCTAGAGAGGTAATCTAATGACCAAGATGATGTACAACTTACTGAAGAACAGGGATGTACTTGACTATTACCACCATGCTTCCGGCTGTATGCATTTGATGATCAATTGATGATGATCTATTGTTCTGTTCTCAGTTGTCTATGCTCCAGACCCTCCAGCAACACACTACATGGATGAGCAGCCTGGAGATCTGCAGAGTGGTCTGGGTGGGGCTGCAGCCATATGTTAGAGCCGTTAGGGTATACTTACACTATTTGGCTCTGATGGCCTCTTATCACTGCTGACTGACTGTTGGTTGTATCGGCTAATGTTGAATATTCATCAATATGGGTTTTTAAGAATGACATGCTGGAAGTTTTGGACTGGATCTTTAGTTCAGTTATAGTAATGATCTACTTTGACTGAGAACTCATTATGTGTTAGAGATGCCATGAGATCAATAGAAGTTGAGGGACTTTCTCAAAATGTCAGCTTTTGTGGTCCTGTAATATCTCAGCTCTGTTGGTTTGTTTTGCAAACAAGTTTTATTTTGTACTAATTTCTGACTATTTTCTTTCCAGAATGCTTATACCTCTGCCAAGGTTGGAGCTGTAACAGTCTATACTGCTAGACACGGTGAGGAGTGGGGGAGTTCTATTGACACATGAGTAGGTCTGTTCTAGTATCTCAAAATCTCGAACGACATTGTTTTTCATGTCTATTTTACCTAGATACATATGAGTTCCTGAGAGATCCTCCTCCTGGTTTCTTCCCGAGGGTCAGTGTGATCAGTCTCTGGGTTAGCTGGTCTGATCCTGTCAAGGAAAGATAATAGTGAGTTTCTGCATTACATCACTCCCCAGATTATTGACCAGCAGTTTATGATACAGTGCCTATAGAAAGTCTACACCCACTTGAACTTTTTGCAAATGTTGTTGTGTTACAAAGTAGGATTGAAATAGGGGATGTAACCAAATTTGTACACAAAAGTTGAGAGAAAAGCTTTTTGTGCGTATGGAAAATGTATGGGATTTTTAATTTCAGCTCATGAAACATGGGACCAACACTTTACATGTTGCGTTTATATTTTTGTTCAGTGTACAAAGACAAGGGAGCTTTTCGAAAACCTCATAAAGAAGGGCAGTGATGGGTAGCAATAACAAATCAGACATTGAATATCTCTTTTAAGCATGGTCATGTTAATAATTATGCTGTGGATGATGTACTAAACCACCCAGACACATCAAAGATACAGTCGAAATTCTGAACTAAGCTGCAGGACAGGGAGGAAACTGCTTAGGGATGTCACCATGAGGTCATTGGTAATTTTAAAACCGCTAGAGTTCAATGGCTGTGATTGGAGAACTGAGGATGGATCAACAACATTGTAGTGACTCCACAATAATGACATAAATGACAGAGTGAAAAGAAGAATAAAAATATACAGAATACAATTATTTCAAAACATGCATATGTAATCAACAAGTCACTAAAGTAAGACTGCAGAAAAATATGGCAAAGGAATACACTTTTTGGACTAAATGCAAAGCCTTATGTTTGGGGCAAATCAAACACAACACTGAGTAACTGCCTTCTTATTTTCAAGCATGGTGGTGGCTGCATCATGGTATGGGTACGCTTGACATCGGCAAAGACTGGGGAGTTTTTCAGGATGAAAATAAATGGGATGTAGTTAAGCACAGGCAAAATCCTAGAGGAAAATCTGCTTCCGTCTACTTTACACCAGAGACTGGGAGAGGAATTCACCTTTCAACATGGCAATATCCTAAAACACAAGGCAAAATCTACACTGGAGTTGCATACCAAGAAGACGTGAATGTTCCTGAGTGGCCAAGTTACAGTTTTGACATAAATCTGCTTGAAAATCTATGGCAAGACTTAAATTGCTGTCATGATCCCCAACACCTTGACAGAGCTTGAAGAATTTTGAAAAGAATAACGGGCAAATATTGCACAATACAGATGTGCAAAGCTCTTATGAGACTTACCCAAGAAGTCTCACAGCTGTAATCATTGACATTTGTTGTACTGTTGAATGGGATGGCAAATTTGGAGGACAAAACAAAACTTAACTTACTAAAATAAAATCCTATTAGGTGGTAGATATTATAAGAAGACAGCATATAGTCATTACAAGCAGTGTAGTTAAACCAAAAATAAATATTGAGTGGAGTACAGCACAGAGTGTGGATACCTCTATGTGGGCCTGTAGCAAATCATAAAGTCTAGACACCGACCCTTGGGAGTGAGTACTTATCTAATCAAGGTATATTAGTGTTTTATTTTTCATTAATCTTTAAAAAAATGCTAGAATTTTGAGTATTTTGTGTAGATCATGACAAAAAATGACAATTCAATCAATTTTAATCCCACTTTGTAACGCAACAAAATGTGCAAAAAGTTAAAGGGTGTGTAGACTTTCTATAGGCACTATAGATAATCCAAAATGTATACATTACAGTAGAATGGTTGAATAAGCAGGTTGCCAAATGTCTCTTTGGTATCATGTTCCACTATGTACAGTGGCTGACAGTTAATTTTTTTTCCCCTGCAGGGACACATCTGATGAGGTTGGGGGTTCCTCTGGGTATGGCCACTGTTGGGACGGCCATGTGCTACCCCACTCAGACAGTGGCTGCTGTAAAGGTACAGATTAATGCATAGGGACTAAAAATCCCCAGCTTCCGTTCACTGTCACTGTTCGGATTTTCCGTTATTTAGCCCTCTGAAAAGGCTCACGAGGAAGCACACAATGTCATAATTTGTAAGTCGCTCTGGATAAGAGCGTCTGCTAAATGACGTAAATGTAAATGACTAGTGTTTTGTCCTTAATTTTATTTTAAATCAAATGACCACAGGTCATAAACCTGAATTACAACAAACAAATAATGACAATATATTATTCAAATATATAATGTAAATATTATTCAAATAATATAATAATAATAATGTAAATAATGAAAATCAAATAAGCCTACAACACCATCAAAAATGTGGCAAATCTGGCTTAAAACAGCATCAACTACATCACCCAGAATGCCTAGCGCCAGAGGAGCATGCGCACAGCGACTCCGCCGTTGCCACGGACGCTGCCACAGGACACAGAACCCATGCCACCACATGCCTCGTCCAAAGGACGCACAAACGCAACACAACGCGGCGCTCCACCATGGATCACCGAACCAAACCACCGCTATCACCACCGCCACCAGAAACCAGCAGAGTGCTCCGAACAATCAGCACAACGCAAATGGCTGATAATGATAGCCTAATGCTATACAGCATCTGGGTCGCTGAGCTACCGCACCCAGCGAGCTACAAGTTATTCTCGGCCAACTAACACCGACACAGTGAGGTAAACGTTCAGTGCTCAAACATATAAGTGACTTAAACATTAATGCTAGACTGTGAGTAGTTCGCAGTTACATACCAACGGGCTGTGTGCTCCTGATGATTGTCTGCCGTGAAATGATTACCAGGTGCCATAATTTAAGTCTCTAGTGAAGCTGCGCATGCGCACATAACATAACATATCCGAGCATCTAAGAAACTTAAAGAAATCACTCGTTCCCCATTTAATTGAACACATCAGACCCATTTGCTTCTCTTTTATCTATTTATATATATATATATATATATATATATATATTATTATTTTTTTCCCTCTTTTCTTTTCCTGAGTGAGCTAGAAGTCTCAACAGTCACTAAGGCCTTTTTACACACTATTATATAAATGTCATGAGATCCAATACTTCGGACTGTTAAGACGCATTTTGTATTATGGCACAATATCTAGTTTTCTTGTATGTAGATTTATGTACATTTTTGTAACTTCCATGTGCATATGAGCTAAAATTAAAAGCGGAAACTTGATTTCTTGTGATATGCCATAGGGGCCTACAGATGTAAGATATTAATTTGAGCCAGTTTGCTACAGCAGGAAAAGAATCCTGCAGCAACAGGAAATGTGAATTATTATGTTGATTATAATTAATGGACATTTTTCGTTAGGGCAACTCAAGTCTGACATTTCAAAGTGGAAATGTGTAAAACTAAAATACACTACAAGTTTGCATTTCCTGCAGTGCAGGAAAATTCTCAGCAACAAAAGAGTGATCAAATTTAAGATCCTTAATCTGTAACAATGTGTGTCTGTTCTTCTGCAGATGACTGGGCAGAAGATGTATGCAGCCAGCCAGTACACCACCTCATACAGTGGGGAGAACAAGTATTTGATACACTGCCGATTTTGCAAGTTTTCCTACTTACAAAGCATGTAGAGGTCTGTAATTTTTATCATAGGTACACTTCAACTGTGAGAGACGGAATCTAAAACAAAAATCCAGAAAATCACATAAGTATTTGATCACCTACCAACCAGTAAGAATTCCGGCTCTCACAGACCTGTTAGTTTTTCTTTAAGAAGCTCTCCTGTTCTCCAGTCATTACCTGTATTAACTGCACCTGTTTGAACTCGTTACCTGTATAAAAGACACCTGTCCACACACTCAATCAAACAGACTCCAACCTCTCCACAATGGCCAAGACCAGAGAGCTGTGTAAGGACATCAGGGATAAAATTGTAGACCTGCACAAGGCTGGGATGGGCTACAGGACAATAGGAATGCAGCTTGGTGAGAAGGCAACAACTGTTGGCGCAATTATTAGAAAATGGAAGGAGTTCAAGATGACGGTCAATCACCCTCGGTCTGGGGCTCCATGCAAGATCTCACCTCGTGGGGCATCAATGATCATGAGGAAGGTGAGGGATCAGCCCAAAACTACACGGCAGAACCTGGTCAATGACCTTAAGAGAGCTGGGACCACAGTCTCAAAGAAAACCATTAGTAACACACTACGCCATCATGGATTAAAATCCTGCAGCGCACGCAAGGTCCCCCTGCTCAAGCCAGTGCATGTCCAGGCCCGTCTGAAGTTTGCCAATGACCATCTGGATGATCCAGAGGAGGAATGGGAGAAGGTCATGTGGTCTGATGAGACAAAAATATAGCTTTTTGGTCTAAACTCCACTCGCCGTGTTTGGAGGAAGAAGAAGGATGAGTACAACCCCAAGAACACCATCCCAACCGTGAAGCATGGAGGTGGAAACATCATTCTTTGGGGATGCTTTTCTGCAAAGGGGACAGGACGACTGCACCGTATTGAGGGGAGGATGGATGGGGCCATGTATCGCGAGATCTTGGCCAACAACCTCCTTCCCTCAGTAAGAGCATTGAAGATGGGTCGTGGCTCGGTCTTCCAGCATGACAACGACCCGAAACACACAGCCAGGGCAACTAAGGAGTGGCTCCGTAAGAAGCATCTCAAGGTCCTGGAGTGGCCTAGCCAGTCTCCAGACCTGAACCCAATAGAAAATCTTTGGAGGGAGCTGAAAGTCCGTATTGCCCAGCGACAGCCCCGAAACATGAAGGATCTGGAGAAGGTCTGTATGGAGGAGTGGGCCAAAATCCCTGCTGCAGTGTGTGCAAACCTGGTCAAGACCTACAGGAAACGTATGATCTCTGTAATTGCAAACAAAGGTTTCTGTACCAAATATTAAGTTCTGCTTTTCTGATGTATCAAATACTTATGTCATGCAATAAAATGCAAATTAATTACTTAAAAATCATACAATGTGATTTTCGGGATTTTTGTTTTAGATTCCATCTCTCACAGTTGAAGTGTACCTATGATAAAAATTACAGACCTCTACATGCTTTGTAAGTAGGAAAACCTGCAAAATCGGCAGTGTATCAAATACTTGTTCTCCCCACTGTATGTGGCATCAGCCTTTAAATCCAAGCCCAAAGCAGTAACTCACCCAACTGTCAGTCTCGAGGTACAACAGACTATTGACATTAAAGATGCTATTTTTCATCTACTCTATGTTCTCTACTTTAAATAGATTTCACTGTGGAAAACATGTGTTTAGCCGTATTCTATACTGAACAAAAATATAAATGCAACAATTTTACAGCTTTGACTGAGTTACAGTTCATATGAGGAAATCAGTCAATTTAAATAAATTCATTATGCCCTAATCTATGGATTTCACAAGACTGGGAATACAGATATGCATCTGTTGGTCAAAGATACCTTACCAAAAATGGGCCTCACAATGGGCCTCAGGAACTCATCTTGGTATTTCTGTTCATTCAAATTGCCATCGATAAAATGCAATTGTGTTCGTTGTCCGAAGCTTATGCCTGCCCATACCATAACCCCACCGCCACCATGGGGCCCACACAACGCCATACACGTGGTCTGCGGTTGTGAGGCCGGTTGGACATACTGCCAAAACGACGTTGGAGGCGGCTAATGGTAGAAAAATGAACATTCGATTCTCTGGCAACAGCTCTGTTGGACATTCCTTGAGTCAGCATGCCAATTGTACACTCCCTCAACTTGAGACATCTGTGGCATTGTGTTGTGTGACAAAACTGCACATTTTAGTGGCCTTTTATTGTCCCCAGCACAAGCTTCTTGATATGCCACACCTGTCAGGTGGATGGATTATCTTGGCAAAGGAGAAATGCTCACTAACAGGGATGTAAACAAATTTGTGCACAACATTTGAGAGAAAATATTTTTGTGCATATGGAACATTTCTGGGATCTTTTATTTCAGCTCATGAAACATGGGAACAACACTTTACATGTTGCATTTATACAGAATTTTTGTTCAGTGTAGCTAGATCAATGATTCATAAATCTAACAAACTGTTTTAAAGCTCTCTCAGGAGTTGAAAAGTTGAGTTTGAAAAGCACATTTTTATGGATTAAACACAACTTGACCAATGTTTTTCTGTTTACAAGCAGCAAGCCCCACTAGCTCCAATCCCTGAGCCAGTAATGCCAGAGGCAAAGCCCCTCCCTGAATCTGGATCATCTGAACCAGTTGAGCCTGCTGTTGACGAGGCTCCTCCCTCTGAACCTAGCTCCGACCCTGTCTCTGTAGAGGAGGGTGTTCCATCTGAGGTTGAATCTGCCCCTCAGTCCACCACAGAGGTGGCCACTGCAGAGGGTTCTATTGACACTGAGCCTGCTGCAGCTCAACCTGAGGCAGCCGCAGTGGTGGAGCAAGAGGCTGTTGAGACGGCCCTTGTGCCTGCTGTTGAGTCTGCACCTGTAGAAGAGGCTGCCCCTTTAGAAGAGGCTGCCGCTGCCCCTGTCGAAGTGGCTGCCCCTGTCGAGGAGGCTGCCCCTGCCCCTGTTGAGGTGGCTGTACCTGTCGAGGAGGCTGTACCTGTCGAGGAGGCTGCACCTGTAGAAGGGGCTGCCCCTTCACCGGTAGAAGAGTCTGTTGTTGAAGAGGCTGCCCCTGCACCTCCTGCTGAAGTGATTCCTCCAACTGCCCCTGTTGAGGAGGAAGTTGCTTCTGCACCCCCTGCAGCTGAATAGGCTGTCCGTGCACCTGTAGAGGAGGTTGCTGCCCCACCTCCTGCAGCTGAAGAGACGGCACCTCGTCCTGCTCCTGTTGAGGAGGCTGTTCCTCCAGCTCCAACAGAGGAGGAATCTGTGATTGTAATAGTAACTGATGGTGAGTCACACATCAATATGAAGATATTTTAATCAAACGGTTGGCTTCATCTTCTTTAATATCAGATATTGACGTTGACTATAAAGAAATAAAAACATATTTTGGGTATTTCCAGGGAAACCCACATTTGCACCCGACCCCAAGCTAGGTGTTCTGGGCCAGGCCAGTCCTGAGGATGAAGACCTGTACAGCACGCGTGGATGAAGAACGACAGGAGGAAAAGGAGGAGAAGGTGGGGGGAATGTGGAAAGACGTTGGAGGGAGGGGAAGGATAAGGGAAAACCACAGAAATGGGAAAATAATATAATGTGACGTGTTAAAGCAACTACAGTTTTTCAGGTGCCTATTTGTCTCTACCTCAATGATTGGGAACAGTTACAGTCACAGGTGTCCTGATTCTCCACAATTCTCCCCAAGTGTGCACTTGCACACTTCCCGTCATGGATTTACCAATGGTGGAAACTCCTGCCTCCAGCCAATACTTTCACCAATCCGATTTGAATCCATGACAGGGAGAAGGATGGAGAATCAGGATGCAACCATACTGTATTTGAATTTGACCTCTCTAGTGTCATCCGTGTTTCTTTGCGGAGGAGACTGCAGTTTACATAGACACCCACAAGGGACAGGGTGCAGGCCATCATCTGCATCCACCGGAACAAACAGCCATCTTTACACTCTTCTTCCAAAGCCACTACACAAGGTTTACTTACCAGCACTTACACGGAGCGTACAAAACATTAAGAACACCTTCCTAATATTGCGTTGCACCCCTTTTGCCCTCAGAACAGCCTCAATTCGTAGAGTCCACAAATTATGTTACTAACCAAACTGGACCATTACACAATAAGTATTTAATTGTCTTTTTTTTTTCTTTTGCTAGGGACTTTACTTGGGTCACTGCTATGCTATCGCTTTTTTTTGTCCGCCACATTCATATGGGGAATTTGCCTTCTGTTATTAGTCAGGTCAGTCTATGCAAATATTTTCCATGTGGCATTTTGTAAACCAGTGAGCAGTTTTAACACATCCATTTGTAAGACCTTATAGAACCACTGACTTGAACCTTTTGTAAAAACCCAATGTTTATGGATGTGCAGCTCTTGCACAAGTTAGACACTCTCAAACAAGCCCACATAGAGACACCTGGAGGTCATGTTACATTATGAACTGGCCAATTTGATATGTGTGTTGGATACATTGGAATGACAATGTCCTTGTACTTGATGTCAGTTTGAAAATACACTAAAGGAAATGTTTCAAACAGTTTTGTTTGTATTTTAATAGAACTGTCAACATATTTAAGCTTTTTATATATAGGCTATTTTACAGTACAGTCAAGAGGATCAAGAGAACACATTTTACAACATGTTTTAATACCTTTCCCTCAAATATTTTTTGTTGTAGAATTTTTTAAATGAAAATCACTTAATGAATTGACTGCCTTCAATTCGAAATCACCCCAGCCCTGATCTTCACCATGATAATCATGTTCAGATGTGTGTTCTTTTGTGCAATAGAATTACCAAATAGGGAATAAAGGCATTTTCCTTCATCTCCACTCTTTCTCCTTTCTTTCGTAATTTTAATCAGAGCAGTGAAAAAGTGCAGATGGTAAAGTATTGTGATAGCCATGCAAAATAATGATGGATGATATAAGAGTATTTTATATGAAACACTAGAGGGCGATAGTGTTAATATCTGCCATTCAGGCAAAACCAGAATTTGTATGAACCACGTCCATGTTTAGAGGAAGTACATTGTTTAAAAAAAGAACACATATGGGAATGAGAGACACTAGAGTATTTCACTCAACAGAAAATTCAGAGAGGGGAGTTCCCAGATAATGCCAAGCTCATATCAAAACATTAAGTGACAGTTTGGGGTTGGGCAAAAATAGGGGAACTCCTTTGGGGAGGGTTGTGTGTGTTTTTTTTTATCGGGCACGGGAGGGTAGAGTATTTTTTCCCCTTGTTTTACGTTCACCCTTTTGCAGGTTTAACTATATATTTTCTTCCATCCTAGCCACATTTCCTAATCTGCTTGAATGCGCTGCGCTTTTCTGCACGGTAACTATACCACAGGTCAAGTAAGCAATAAGGGCTGAGGGGGTGTGGTATATGGCCAATATACCACGGCTAAGGGCTGTTCTTATGCACAACGCAACACGGAGTGCCTGGATACAGCCCTTAGCTGTGATATATTGGCCATATACGACAAACCCCCAAGGTGCCTTATTGCTATTATAAACTGGGCTTGAACCACACAGTTTATAATTATCAATATAGTCCACCAGTCGAGGGCTCTATTCAATCCGCATCGTGTAAATTCAGTGTTAAAGCGTGATTGAAATTTAAAGGCAATGTTCCCGCTTTAGCTGAGACTGCGTTCATTCATGGTAAACGCTGCATATGTCGGCTCAATTGGAAATTACCTTTAAAAGTCTATTGGAATCTGTAACTACCCTCTATCCACCATTCATAATGACAATAGTGGTAGGTGAACCGTTTGTCCAGATCTGCAATAGGATAACTAGCAATCATACCACAACCACACATAAAATCATTCAAAGCTGGACCAATTTTCAATATGAATCCACAAGAACAAGGCGGAATAGCTGATAGGCAGCAGAGAGTCCAGGTGCTTCATTGTGCATGAAAGTACAGTGAATACATGCGACAGCGACATGCAGCTCAAAAAGCTACCCTGTTGATCTTGTTTAGGGACAATAAAATTATCTAGACTAGCCTACAACACCACAATACAATGAATAATTGCATTATTGTTTTCAAGTGAGTAATCTCAGACTTCAGTGACCTCTTTCTAGAGCTCCGACCTGAAGATCACTGACGTCATGATTCGACCTTGTTTTTTTCAGAGTTCCCAGTTGTCTTGAAAGCACCATAAATCCAGAGAATGCCAGACCTTGATTACAAAGTTTGATGACAAAATCTGCCCACAAGAAGGACCGCCGCGCCACCTTCCTGTTCAAGTCAGCACAGCACAACAAGGTGAGTCCAACAATGTATTGTATGCTGCTGCATAAATTATGTAATATGCCAGGGATAAATGTATACTGTAGCTAAGAAAGTAATACTAAGTGTATGTTGTGTAGTAAGCTGTTAGTAGCCCATGTGCCTCACCCTAATAAGTTGGTCCCTTTCCCCCTCATAACTTAGCCTACTGTTCTGACTTGGTGGTGCACATGTTGCCAATACCCTGTTTTACAGAAATGTAATCATATAATATTGTAAGAGCTCTCATTGTCTGCTTATATGCCCCCTTTATTTATCCTACGGTTCTGACTTGGTGTACAGGGAGAATAGAGTAAGAACGGCCCATGTTCTGAATTCTGTCGCTGTACATTTCAAAGTGCTGAACAAATAGTTATATTGACTACATCCGTCCTAGCTCGCTCATTAATGTCTTAATCGGAATTACGGATTGCCTCTTATCCGCTTGTCGTTCCCTTATGCCATAGTTTATTTAAAAAAAAAAAAAAAATTCATCAGCTTTAATATTGCAGATAGATTGTAACTTCCATCAATGTAATTATCTGTTCCCAAATATGCTGAGCACTTGTTGGCTGCTTTTCCGTCACTCTCCGGTCCGACTCATCCCAAACCATCTCAATTGGGTTGATGTCGGGGGATTGTGGAGGCCAGGTCCTCTGATGCAGCACTCCATCACTCTCCTTCTTGGTAAAATAGCCCTTACACAGCCTGGAGGTGTGTTGGGTCATTGTCCTGTTGAAAAACAAATGATAGTCACACTAAGCCCAAACCAGATGGGATGGCGTATCGCTGCAGAATGCTGTGGTAGCCATGCTGGTTAAGTGTGCCTTGAATTCTAAATAAATCACAGACAGTGTCACCAGCAAAGCACCCCCACACCATAACACCTCCTCCTCCATGCTTTACGGTGGGAAATACACATGCAGAGATAATCCGTTCACCCAAACCGCGTCTCACAAAGACACGGCGGTTGGAACCAAAAATCTCCAATTTGGACTCCAGACCAAAGGACACATTTCCACTGGTCTAATATCCATTGCTCGTGTTTCTTGGCCCAAGCAAGTCTCTTCTTCTTATTGGTGTCCTTTAGTAGTGGTTTCTTTGCAGCAATTCGACCATGAAGGCCTGATTCACACAGTCCCCTCTGAACAGTTGATGTTGACATGTATCTGTTACTTGAACTCTGTGAAGCATTTACTTGGGATGCAAGTTCTGAGGCTGGTAACTCTAATGAACTTACCGTCTGCAGCGGAGGTAACTCTGGGTCTTCCATTCCTGTGGCAGTCCTCATGAGAGCCAGTTTCATCATAGCGCTTGATGGTTTTTGCGACTGTACTTGAAGAAACTTTCAAAGTTCTTAACATTTTCCAGATTGACTGACCTTCATGTCTTAAAGTAATGATGGCTGTTGTTTCTCTTTGTTTATTTGAGCTGTTATTGCCATAACATGGATTTGGTATTTTACCAAATAGGTCTATCTTCTGTATACCCCCCTACCTTGTCACAACAGAACTGATTGGCTCAAATGCATTAAGAAGGAAATAAATTCCACAAATTAACTTTTAAGGCACACCTGTTAATTGAAATGCATTCCAGGTGACTACCTCATGATGCTGGTTGAGAGAATGCCAAGAGTGTGCAAAGAAGTCATCAAGGCAAAGGGTGGCTATTTGAAGAATCTCAAATATAAAATATATTTTTATTTGTTTAACACTTTTTTTGGTTACTACATGATTCCATGTGTGTTATTTCATAGTTTTGATGTCTTCATTATTATTCTACAATGTAGAAAATAGTAAAAATAAAGAACAACTCTTGAATGAGTAGGTGTGTCCAATCCTTTGACTGGTACTGTATATATATACAGTTGAAGTCGGAAGTTTACATACACCTTAGCCAAATACATTTAAACTCAGTTTTTCACAATTCCTGACATTTAATCCTAGTAAAAATTCCCTGTCTGAGGTCAGTTAAGATCACCACTTTATTTTAAGAATGTGAAATGTCAGAATAATAGTAATAACAGTGGGTCAGACGTTTACATACACTCAATTAGTATCTGGTAGCATTGCCTTTAAATTGTTTAACTTGGGTCAAACGTTTCGGGTAGCCTTCCACAAGCTTCCCACAATAAGTTGGGTGAATTTTGGCCCATTCCTCCTGACAGAGCTGGTGTAACTGAGTCAGGTT